GCCCAACCTTCCTTCCGAGGAGTGGCTGGTGGGTTTCAACCGCCAGCCGTCTGGTTAGCAGGCAAGTGTCTTAGCCACTATGCTACCAGAGCTCCCACACAAAAGTAGAGAGAATGATAAAAGGATGTGGGTGTCTCCACAGTAACCTTCCTTCTATTGTTCTGTTTCACCTGCCTTTTTTATTTGTTTGTTTGGCTGGTATATTTTAAAGTAAATCTAAGACATCGTTTCATTTTGCCCGTAAGCACCTCAGTAGGTATCTCTAGCGTAACCCCACTGCCCTCACCACACCGAAGAACACCAACAGCGGGTCCTTAACGCCGTCTGATGCCTTGTCCACGTTCGGTTTCTCTCAGTTGCCACCAAAAAAAAAAAAAAAAGGCTTTTGCCCGCTGGCTCAACCAGGGCCCAAACAAGGTCCACTCACGGTGTTTGCTTTACATGTCTCAGGTCTGTTAATCTTTAGCAGTCCTGCCTTCTTCTTTTTTTTTTTTAATGCCTTTGTTTGTTGGAGAACCGGGGCCATTAGTCCTGTGGAATTTACTGGAGCCTGGAATCGGCTCATCGTTTCCTCCTGGTTGTGTTCTACACGCTCCTCTTTCCCTCAGTGTTTTGCTTCTTCCCATGGTCCTTTGGAGTTCAGTATTGATGTCCGCTGCCTTCGAGTTGGCCCAGAGTCATGGCGACCCTTGCACAGCGAACCCCATGCTACCCGGTCTTGTGCCATTCCCCCAGTCAGTTACAAACCAGCCCATTGCGACCCATGGGTTTTCTTTTCTTTTCAATAATAGTTTGTTGTGTTTTTGTGGGAGTTTATATTTCCCATGAGTCTGTTCTGTCTCAGGGAGACTGAGTAGTTGGAGAGGGACGGGTCCTTCTAGCAGAATCCCAGTGAAGGAATGCAGGAGGCGACTGGGTTAGAGCCCTGCCCCTTTAAAAGCCCGCGTGAAGCCAGGAATCCAGGCCAGGCCCCTGATGGTACTCAAATCATTAGGTGAAAGGCTGATGGGAGAGGCAGTGAAGGCAAGGTCAGGCCGGCCACCTGCTTGGGGCCATCTGATCCCTCCCAGCACCGCAAACAGTGGACAGCACATCCCTCTGCCATGACATACCCGTAAGGGCCCGGCACCTCCTCTCAAGTTCTGGTGCCCCCTGAAACAACCGAACCTGACTTGTGGAGCCTCAGACCACACAGTGCTCTGCCTAGGCCCACCTGCACATGGCTTCTCATTATCTGTACCACAGTCTATGTTTTCCTTAAACGTTTTTTCCATGATTTTCATTATTCACAACCCACACAGGGACGAGAGACAGTGAGGAGAGTGGGCAGAGTGTGGGTCGGGAAGGGATTGCCCGGCCACCCTCCAGCCTGGCTGAGGGCACCACGGAGCTGCCTTGGAGTCTCCCGTTCCGCACGTCTGGCACCATCCGAGGGCTGGAGGACTTCCTGTCCTGGCACTCCGGTCACGGGCAGAGCCTTTCCCTAGCCCTGTGTGGAACCCTTACTGTAGTGCCCAGCACCAACACTGTAGGTGACTTGGCTACCAGTGGCTGGCCCTCAGTTCTCACCCTAAATGCCCTTGCAGTCATTCCCTTCTGCCTGACTCCTGTTTCCTGCCCTGAACATTGCCCCCGGGGCCTCTGGAACCTTCGCTCCTGCATCTTCAAGCCTCCTCATTAAGCTCTCACCTTCTCCGGAATTTCGCTGAAGCCTGGCTGTCCCCCAGGACAGCAGTTTCTCTCCCATCCTCCCGTCTGCAAGCCTCCCTTGGTTTATGGACACATCACTCAGGCGGAACCTGTTCAGCCTCACACACCCCAAGCCGCACACACCCCAGAACCCAGAGGTGGAGTTCCAGAGTCCTGCTGGCTCCTCAGGTTTGTCATTGTCACCCTTTCTCCTTCTCCTTGGAGACCAACTGGTTCTGCCACAGACCTTCTCCTCCACTTCCCCCTCAGCCACGGCCACACCTTGGAACCCCCCCACCTCTCATACCTGACACTGAGGCACTCCACGCGCACACCCTTCTGCCCTCTAGCTCTCCTCCTGGCGTCTTCCTCGGGCCGCACCTAGACCTGGAGCCTTTGGACGACTTCTTGGTTTTCTCCCAGAGTCACCCTCCCTCCCTCTCCTTCCCTCCAGCTGGGCCTCATCATCATTTTAACCACTTTGCTGGCAAAAGTCTCAAGCCCTGGCCTTCACTCACTCCTGCCTGATTAAACCCCAGCCTCCACCCTTGACCAGTGAGTGGAGAGACCAATGGATGCATAGCACGATGAGTTCTGGGTCTCTAAAGAAGGAGCTCCGGTGGTGCTGTGGTTAGGGCACTGGGCTCCTAACCAAAAGGTCGGCTGTTTGAACCCACCAGGCGCTCTGCAGGAGAAAGACGAGGCAGTCTGGTTCTGTGAGACTTAGAGCCTTGTAAATCCTACGGGGCTCACTATGCTCAGCTGCCAACCAAAAAGTTGATGGCTCGAATCCACGAGTTGCTTTGCCGAGGACCTGGAGGCCTGCACCCGCTCTGCCCTACAGGGTCACTAAGAGTTGTAATCAACTCAAAGGCACACAACAATCACTTGGAAGAGCCCTGGTGGTGCAGTGGTAAAGCACTCAACTGCAAACCACAGGTTGGTGGCTCGAACGTCCCAGCCACTCTACTAGAGAAAGATGAGGCAGTCAGCTTCGGTAAAGATTGACAGCCTTGGAAAACCTATGGGATGCTTCTACTCTGTTCTAAGGGTTGCTTTCAATAGGAGCCAACTCAACAACGACAGGTTTTGTTCTGATGTTTTAATCTCTCGGAGGAGTCCCTGGGTGGTATAGAAACGGTTAACACACTCAGCCACTAACCGAGGGGTTGGAAGCTTGAGTCGACGCACAGCTGCCTTGGAAGGAAGGCCTGGCCATCTCCTTCTGAAAACTCAGCCATTGACACCCAATGGGGCACAGTTCCACTCTGACCCACATGGGGGCGCTGTGGTGGGAATCAGTGGCAACTGTGTTTTTGTCTCCTTGGGCGCCTCAACACTACCTAGAAATCCTTCCATATGGCCCGGCTCCAGAGCAGGCCTTTCAGGCATTCACCAGTTACGTAAAACCCCTTCCTTCATCGCCTTTCCTGTCCCTCTCAGCAAATGACTTCACCTCCCACATCCCAGGCCAGACTGAGGCCACAGGCAGCGGCCCTGGACTTCCAAGTACACGCATCCACCCTCATTGTCGATTCCTTCCTTCCAGTGTGAGATGGAGGGCGCCATCCCCGCCGAGGCCCACTCCCTGTGCCGTGAGCCCTAATCTACCCTCCCCGAGAGACTTTGCCCTCTGAACTGTGTCCCTCACCTTCACTGCACGTCATGTACTCAGGCCTCTTTGGCCTTAAAATCACAACATGGCGTGACTAATCATGTCACCTTCCACCCACTCTTCATCCGTCCCCAGTTCTGCAGTCCTTCCCTGGACAGCCAATCTCCCAAAAGAATATCTGCTCCCTGCCCCTTTCTGATTGCCTACGCATGCCCCAACCACCGCATTCCGTCTGCCTGTGGACCTCACTCCCTTCTCCTCTGCTCTAGTTTCCTCAGTTTTGCAAAAAGAAATCTCCCTCAATGACCATTTCCCCATTTTTGCACTTTTTCTAGCTGTCTTGCTTCCTCTGCCCTGCAGCCCTCCTTCAATCACCATTGACACGGCCTTTCACACGCGGCCTTTCACACGCAGACTAGCACCATTGTCCGTGTTGCCCGTACTCTTATTTCTGAAGTTCACTTCCATATTCAATGACGTTTTCTTTTCCTGGGGACATGCAGCCTGTTCCACAACATAAATCCAGACGGGAGGGAGGGTCCCCAGGCTGAGGGTGGGACGAAACAAGGAGCTGATGTGCACGGTGGAAGCAAATTCTGTGAACTGAGTCGGGTGCCTAAGAAACCCTTCACACAGGGAGTTCTCAAACCATGGACAGAGGATCCAATTTTGAGGTTATTAACAGCTCCAACTGCAATAAGATTGTGTCCTTATTCTCTTCATGTTGGCCTGAACACCTGTGAAAATTATTCAGGGCTACATGCAACAAGGAAAGGTTTAGGGCCCTCAGTACCAAGTGAAGATTGGGCAAGTATCTGTTGATTGAGCAGTATAGATAACTCAGCTGTTCCTGAAGAGGCCCGAGGGGTGAGAATCAACCATGGCCCTGATCAGTACAGCCAGAGATTGTCCCAGGCCGCCCTACTCTTGGAATGCTGTCAGTCACCGGAGTCTGGCTCTAGGGCTAACAGAAGTGAAGACACATGAGCGACCTGGTGTTCAAACAACTTCATCTTCAAGGGGCCTGTGTTGAGGGCTGAGTCCGGGCTAGCCTGACATTCTGAAGTTTGCCCCCTGGCTGTGTGAAATGGATGATGTGGCCCAGCCTGGGAGCAAGGCCAGGTGTACACTTAGTCATCAGAGAGCCTCTATTTCAAAACTGCATCAAAAATGTCCCTTAAGTCCCATTAAATCTTTAAGTTCTGGTGAATCTCTCTTTTTACTCCTAATATTTTGTTCAGAAAGTTAGGTCTTCTGTCTTAAAAAGTTTTTCAGAATTTTCTCATTGCATCCACATAGTATAACCTCCCCCTCTGTCCCCTGTATTTTCTGTAAATGACAAGTCAGATCTGGAGGCTTTATCAGATTCAGTTTGAATTTTTTCTTGTAAGATACTTTATACATTGTGCTGTGTATTTCCATCAGGGTGAAATACCAGACAGTGATGGGAGCAGTCACTGATAATCATTGCCTACATCCATTCATTAAATTTAGGTTGCAAGGAAAAAAAACTGCATCAAAAGAAGACAGAATAATGTTCGAGAACATTGAGTGTGTTTGGTGAAGTGCCCAGAGAGTAAAGAAAAGATGAGTGGAAACAAAAAGCTAAAAAAACGATCTTAAGAGAAAACCCCAGATCTTGTCATGTGAACATTGACAGGCCTTCCCATGATCCTTCAGATCACAGCCACATCTGCCAGATGTTCCACTTAGCCCCTCATCCGGGGGGGAGAGTTCCCCCTATAAGGCTAAACTCTGCTGGAGTTCAGCCCCTTGGGACTTACTAAACAAGACTTTGTCTTTGCCCCAGTGTCCAATGCCAGTAGGTCGCAGGATGCCAAAGGGGACCTTTCCCTCAGTATAAATGGAGAACTAGGAAGGTGACTGAGACCCCTCTTCTCAACCTGGGCTCTTGGGACCTAAGGAGAGGATGGCAGGAGTTAAGCTGGCAAAGGAGGGACATGTTTAGGAACCCCGTACCTCTTCCTAGCCCTCCCTCCCTGGAGCAGTGGGATTTTCAGGCCACCCCTTAAGTTCCAGACACATACCTGGTAGCACGTGACAGGCCTGCCGTTCTGAAGCCCAAGTAGACAGGGTGGTAACATCCTGCGTGCCATCCTTGCCTCCACTCCTTCCCATCAAAACCCAGGACTGAGCGCATGGAGGGAAAACAGCTGGAATGTATCTGTCAGGTGGCTGACAGAGCAGTCAGTCACTGCTGTGGCCTTGGCGTTGGTGTCTTTCAGATGGAGGTGCCGTGGTGAAGGCCCGGGTGCTGACCTGTGTGGAAGGGATGAATGTACCCTTGTTGGAACGAGCCATCCGGGAGGAGAGGATGTACCAGCAAGAGCGGGGCAGCAGCTGACTGAAAATGCCAGCCCCCCCACCCCCATCTGCCCCTGGGGCCAGACCCACAGGAGATGCCACTGTGCTGCCCACAAGGTGTAGGAGCTCTCCCCGGAGCGACGGGCTGGGGCTGGGGCCCGAGAGAGGAGGGTTTATCAACCCAGCCCTTCCCCTGATTAGAGACTATGCCAGCAACGAGAGCCTGGAGAAGAAGTGCAAAGCCTCGCACCCCAACCCCCGGGAGCGAGCTCTGGGCCCCCGAGGGCCACAGGCCTCCTGAGCCTTGTCTGAGTCCTGGAGCCTTCCAGAAGGGCCTCGTGAATAAAGGCCCAGTGGGCGTGCCCCGCTGTGTGTGCACGTGGTGCAGCGCCGCCCAGGGCCAGGAGGGGGAGCTGCGGACAGACGGCCTGCCCCGCAGCGAGGCTGCAGCCAAGCGAGCACAGGGTTTCTGGTGAATTCTGGGCTGGGGGCCTGGCGGGGAAGGCGCGGGGTCAGAGGGGCTGGGTGGGGGCCCAGGACGCATGGGGGCCGCCCCTGCTTCAGTTCTGTCCTCAGAGGAGACCGAGCACTGCCTGGCAGACCGGGCCTAGCCCCTCAGTGCTGGCTGCAGCCTAGGACAAGATGAGGGCTTCCGAGACCCTTCCCAGCCCCTGACCTCTGACCCTAGCTGCCCCTGAGCCCTGGGCAGGCCCTCTGGGCAGCCTTCCTGTCCCCAGAACCTGGGCCTGGCGGTGCAGGGGGGGAGGGGGCTGGGCATTGGAAGTTTGGGCCCTCCTGCACTCCGTACAGGGCACAGGTGCAGCAGGCTTTCAGGCCCCCCCTGGGGCCTGGGGCCTGAAGACCAGGGGTTCCTGCCTGGGCTGGGCTGGGGACTGCAAGCCAGGTTCCCAGGGACGGGCCGGGGGCAGGGGGAAGGGAGCTGGCCTGCGGGCCTTGGGGGCTGGGGAAGGCTGGGTGGGGGTTGAGTAGGGGGGTTCTATGGGTGCTAGAGGGGGGAGTCGGGGTGCTAGACATGGGGAGGCGAATGCCCGGGTGCTGTTTTCCAGGCAGCTCTGCGGTCATGGATGTCTTCCAGAAGGTAGAGAAGATTGGGGAGGGCACCTATGGAGTGGTGTATAAGGCAAAGAACAAGGAGACGGGGCAGCTTGTGGCCCTCAAGAAGATCAGGCTGGATTTGTGAGTCCTGCCATGGCCCCCGAGACGGCCAGGCCCAGGCCAAGCCACAGCCCAGGGGCTGCCCGTCCACGCCGTCATCGCATTGTTTTACGTCCAGTTCCTTTTCCGAATGCTGCCTGGGTATAGTGGGGCAGTCACCAAGGGGCAGCCCTTCCTCACCCTCGTCCCACCTCACTGCCCCTGCCCTCACAACTAACAAGGCATTATCCCTGGGCCCTGCTGGGTGAGTGAGAAATACAGGCCAAGGGGCACAGGGTCCCCATTGCTAGAGGATGGGCCACCTTTAGGGAATAAGAACACAAAAGTGACCCCTCGACCCCAGGCCAGAAGCGCTCTCTCCCCTCAAGGTGTTGCTCACTCCCTGACCCCCTGCTTGTTACTGAACGAGCCTTTCCTGTAGGGAGACCGAGGGCGTCCCTAGCACCGCCATCAGGGAGATCTCCCTGCTCAAAGAGCTTAACCACCCCAACATCGTCAGGTGAGTTGGGGAAGGAGGCAGTGAACACCCAGCCAGTCTCAGTCAGTGCTATTGAGAGCCGTGTCCTCACTGGCATCTCCCTGCCAGGCTACTGGACGTGGTACATAGCGAGAAAAAGCTTTACCTCGTGTTTGAGTTCCTCAGCCAGGACCTGAAGAAGTACATGGACTCCACCCCGGCCTCCGAGCTCCCCCTGCACCTAGTCAAGGTACCGAGGGAGCCGTGAGGAAGAAGAGCTTGCACCCCTCTGGGCCAGCCCCCTCTGCTTAGCCAGTTCCTTCTCCTTCCGGTTCCAGAGCTACCTCTTCCAGCTGCTTCAGGGGGTGAATTTCTGCCATTCTCATCGGGTCATCCACCGAGACCTGAAGCCCCAGAATCTGCTCATTAACGAGTTGGGAGCCATCAAACTGGCAGACTTCGGGCTGGCTCGGGCCTTCGGGGTGCCCTTGCGTACCTACACCCACGAGGTACTGCCAGGGCAGAGGGGAGAGAAGGGCAGCCGAAGGGATGTTGCCCACACACTCAGCCTGGCCCTGCCCGCTGTCTGCCAACTGATGCTGTTTTCTTGCCCCGCAGGTGGTGACGCTGTGGTACCGCGCCCCCGAGATCCTCTTGGGTAGCAAGTTCTATTCGACCGCTGTGGACATCTGGAGCATCGGTTGCATCTTTGCAGAGATGGTAGAGAGAGGGGCAAAGCATGAACACAGGGAGGCCACGGGCAGCATCCTGCAGGGGTGGGGGCGGGGCACACTGACCCCAAACCCAGACCCACTGCCTTGGGTTGATTCTGACTCGTGGAGACTCTAGAGGACAGAATAAAACTGTTCCATAGGGTTTCCCAGGCTGTTATCTTTATGGACGCAAACTCCTCCCCGCAAAAAAACCACTACCATCGAGTCATTTCTGACTCACAGTGGCCCCTAGAGGTCAGAGTGGAACAGCTCCATAGGGTTTCCAAGGCTGTCAGTCTTTATTGAAGCAGACTGCCACGTCTTTCTCCCCAAGTGGCTATGAGTTCAAACCACCAACATTTTGGTTAGCAGCTGAGTGCTTTAACCACAGCACCACCAGAGCTCCTTTATGGAAGCAGACTGCCACGTCTTTCTCCTGTAGAACAGCTGGTGGGCTCAAACTGCTGACCTTTCAGATAGCAGCTGAGTGCTTAACCATTGCGCTACCAGGGCTCTTTGACCTTCTTACTAGAGGTGGATTAAGGGGTGCTTAGGAGTCGCTGGGCAGTGGAAATGGTTAACATGCTTGACTACTGACCAGAAGGTTAGAGGTGTGAGTACACCCAGAGAGGCCTTGGAAGAAAGGCATGATACTTTAGCATATTTTTCACAAACAGTGTGCCCACGTAATCTCTCTCTCTCTCTCTCTCTCTCTCTCTCTCACAGACATACACACACACACGCATACACATGTATGCATTTCACACATAGGTTTTTTTTTTTTTTTTTTAGGATTTGGGTGAAGATTTACAGAGTAAATTCACTTTTCATACAGCAGTTCACATATACTTTGTCTCATGTCATTGACCAAAATTTACAATGCAGCAGCTCCCCTCCCACTTCCTCCCCATAGTTACCTCCTCCCAGTGTCCATCCCTTCATACTCTTCTGCACCCTGAGCTATCTCCCTGTGCATAAGCAGCCCTTCCTTCTCCCATGATTGTTCTCTCCAGGGCGTCACACATAGGTTTTAAGGGATGCTTGACAGAGGAAACAGGCCTTCTCCCAGGAGAAGGCAGAATTCTCAGTGCAGCCCTGGGACAGATAGCTTGAAGGCCCCTCCCCAGTTCTGGCTGCGTGTCTGGTGTAGGATGAGGCTTGACAAAGCTGTGGACTCCACTCCTCCTCCTCTTCGCCCTTCCAGGTAACTCGCAGAGCCTTGTTTCCTGGGGACTCGGAGATTGACCAGCTCTTTCGTATTTTCCGGACCCTGGGGACACCCAGTGAAGCCACGTGGCCAGGAGTCACCCAGCTGCCCGACTATAAGGGCAGCTTTCCCAAGTGGACCAGGAAGGGGCTGGAGGAGATTGTGTCCAATCTGGAGCCAGAGGGCAAGGACCTGCTCACGGTAGGCACAGGTGGGCAGGAGGGGAGGGCACGAAGGGCTTTGTTTCGCTGCTGCTCCAGCCAGAGTGTCCGTTTCTCCGCCAACTTCTTATGTAACCCAGGCTCCTCCTGTAAGTCCAAGCTAAGCGCTTTTCTGACCCCTGTACAGAGAGGGCTTCTCTCTGTCCCTGGGGTACTGATTCGTCAGCTGGGAGCCTCACCCCGTAAGTCCAATGTTCACCTTCCCTTTGAAAACTCTTCTCCTAGTTAGCTTTGTGTTTGCACTGTGAGACTTGCCTTTTGTTCCTAGTTGGCTTTGTTTGTGGTCCCTGGGAAGTTACGACCCCATCTGTGCGATCAGCTTTCCTTCCTTGTTATTCCCCTTGGTGCCTTCCGTGGTGGCTGGTCTTCTCACGAGCTAGTGCAGAACAGGCTGTCCCCTGGTGCCTGGGCCCCTGCCGCTGTCCTCTCTCACCCACACTGCTGGCCCATCGTGACCCCTGGGCTTGCGCCAGGTCAGACTGCCCAGGAGGCCTCAAGAGGTGTCTGGTAGAGCCACTGGCTGATGCACATGAAGGCCTCGAAGCCACATTTCTCTCTTGAATCTGGTGTTGGGTTTGGGAAAAGTAGGCAGGTTTTCCTTGTCAGACTGTGTCCAGTTTTCTAGAAGTGTGTGTCCACCTGCTGACCCAGGATGGCACGTTTACCACCAAGGCTCCCTGGACTCACCCTGGGGACTCCCACTTCCTGGCTCGATTTAGAGCAAGGAGCCCTGGTGACACAGTGGTTAAACACTCACCGCTAACCAATAGGTCGGCAGTTCAAACGCACCAGCCACTCTGCAGGAGAAAGATGTGGCAGTCGGCTTCTAAAATGATTACAGCCTTGGAAACCCTCTGGGGCAGCTCTACTCTGTCCTCTAGGGGCGCTGTGAGTCGGAATCGACTCAGAGGCAATGGCATGGGAGCACTAGAGCTGGATGCGGCTGGCCTCTTAAAGCCTTGGCTTCTCCGCCCCCCACTCTTTGCATTCCTGCCCCCACCCTCCAGGCTACTTCCCAGCCGGTCTGGCCCCTGCTTCCAGCGCCCCCGACAGGTGCACGGAGAGGGCAGCCTTGCCTAGAAGCAGACTGGGGTCTGGGCCCTCAGCAAGGAAGGGAGCAATGACTCAGCATCAGTGCAGGAGACCTGGCCTGCGGGGCTGGGCCACAATGGGCTCTTTGTCCCCAGGCTCTGGGAGGGTCCAGCACTGGCTCAGGAGGTGGGAGGTGGTGGCTGTGTGCAGCTGTGGGGTCGCAGGGCTTGGGGTCAAGCTGGGACGGAGAGGGTGAGTCCTCCCCCTGGCCTGATGGCATTTCCTCCTGCTTCTTCTGCAGCAACTCCTGCAGTACGACCCCAACCGGCGGATCTCAGCCAAGGCGGCCCTCACCCACCCGTACTTCTCCGAGCCCTCCCCCGCCCCACGCCAGCGTGTGCTGGAGCGGTTTTGCCGTTGAGAATGAGACCCACCAGCCACAGTCCTCTCTCCAGCTGCTACCGCACACACTACCCAAGAAAGAGAATGCTTCCGGGAGCTGGGAAAGTGCTGGGGAGTCCGGCATCAGCTAAGAGAGGGCCGCGTTTGGGTTAGTCCTGGCAGCTCGGTAGCGAGTCCCTGTGTTGTTTGTTGGGTCTGGCCACTAGGACGGGGTACAGATGCTCCATGCAGGAGGGGGGTGCCTTAGAGATGGCTGCCCTGGCTGTGGCCAAGTGCCCCGCTCTCTGTGGCAGATCCAGATGCCCAGGGAACGGGTGACCCCTGCTGGCCGTTTTTTGGATTTACAATGTTTTGGGGGAAGAGTTCAGTGGAGTCCAAGTTTAACGGGAAGTGGGGTGCGGGAGAGGAGAGGACGTGTCCCTGATCCCGGAGAGGTCAGGAACCATGTGGCCAGTCTAAGGAATTGTCTGTTGATCGAGAATATGCTGGTTAGTTTCCCTCTGGTTTAAGGACAGGAAATAAAAGAGACATATTTCTGAGTGTTCTTGTGTTGGTCTGCTCATGAGGGACACAGGGACTTGCTGATAAGGGGGAGACTGACTAGAGGGCTGGAGTCAGTTCCTGGCCTAACCGGAGAGACCTGCAACAGAACAGCGACTCCACGGAGGCCGCCCTCAACTGTGGGAGAACTAGGAAGGCTGGGGGGGAGTTGTGTTCATACCCATGACCTCCCACAGTCAGCGGAACCTCGGCCTCTCCAGACACCTCATTGTCCAGCAGGGAGAGGTGAGTGTGCCCATTCCCAGACAAATTCAACTCCACATCCCCGAATGTGGATGAGACGCGTTTATTGGAAGCATCGGGGCAGGCAGGAGGGAGGGCGAACAGATCTGGATCGTGCACCAGAGGGAGAGAGGGAGCCCGACACCAAAAACGGCTGGAAGTAAGACAGCAATCAGACTCAGACCGGGGGAAAGCCTGCCCCTGGGGTTGATTGGGCTGCTGCGGGGCAAGGTGTCCACGACCCCACCCCGACCCTCACACACACACACAGACACAGCCTTGACTCCCGGACCCATCAGCGTCGGCAGTGTGCCAGCCCCGGGGAGGCCGAGCGGTAGCAGCGGTACCCCTCCAGCGCGGCCGGAAGCAGCAGCAGGCCGCTCAGGGGGTCCCTGCGGCAGCGCCCCATGGCTTCCTTATAACTCAGCCGCTCCTTGGAGAGGGGGTCCGTCAGATCCCTCTCGTAGCTGGCCTCATCCTGAAGGAGCCTGGCCAGCTCGTCACTGATCATCCCGGAGAGCAAAGCCTGGGCCACGGGGATGCGGCCGGTCCGCTTGGGGTCGATGAGCCCGCCGGTCAGGTGCTGCGCCTGCAGGTGTGGGAGCACGCTCTCCAGGGGCATCCAGCCCTTCTGCACGGCCTCGCCCACCGACAGCCTCTTCCTGGTGACAGGATCCTCGATGCCCGTGAAGGCCTTCTGGGCATTGAGCAGCCTCTGCGTGGAGGTGCTCTCAATCAGCCCGCGCTCCATGGCCTTGTGCACCGAGTAGCGCTCCCGGCTAAGCAGGTCCACGATGCCCCCCGTGGCCGCCTGGGCCTCCAGCAGCTTCTGCCCGGTGATGGGGTCTAGCATGTTCTTGGCCACGGCTGTCTTGATGCTGCACTTGTTGTCTGTGGTCGTGTCGTAGACCCCGGCGATGGGGAAGCTGTCATCACCCAGCCCCAGAGAGAAGCCGGGCGAGAAGGAGCTGGCGCTCTGCGGGGCGGGGGAGGCGACTGGGGACTTGGAAATGATGGAGCCGATGGAAAGGGCGGGGCAGGGCCTGCTCTCACCTGCCACGAGTAGGGCGAACTCGGAGATGGGCAGCCGGCCGTCCTTGTACAGGTGGTACTCCTCCTTGGAGATGCGCCGGCAGCGGAGGGCGGCCTCAATGGAGTGCTGCTTCCCGCTCTTGCGGTCCAGGAGCACCGACTCCTCCCCGCAGGGGCCCGAGGTGGTGACCTCCTCCCAGTCACACTCGAGTTCCTGCAGCTGGAGGTACTGGCCCCGGTCAATGATGCCCCGCTTGTAGGCCTCGTACGGGGACATATCCTTCCCCGTCTCGGGCTCCAGGATGCAGATTTTGGTGGACAGGTTGGTCTCGCGCGTCTGGGTCTCCTGGCTGAGCTCCTCGCGGCTGACCTGGGTGTGGAGGTCCCTCAGGGCCCGCTCCTTCTCGTAGATCTGGTCCTTCTCGCGGAGGATGGCCGCCTCCAGCTGCGAGAGCTCCTGGCTGCGCGGGGCCGCCCTCTGCCGCTCGCTGTCCGGCTGCCGGCCGCGTCGCTGCGCCTCCTCCTGCCGGCTCCGTACCTTCTGCCGCCGCTGCTCCAGCTCGCGCAGCTCCCGCTGCAGCTGCCTGCGCGCCTGGTCCGCCTGCTCCCTCGCCTTCTGCAGCTCGGCCTCCTCCCGGGCCCAGGTCGCGCCCAGCGCCTCGGCCCGGTCGATTCGCTCCCGCAGCCGCCGCGCCTCCTCCTCCTGGCCCTGCCGCGCGGCCCGCTCCCTGGTGAGCTGCGCCCACACCCTGGAGCGCTCGCCCTCCAGCACCGGGTCCTTCTCCACCCGGATCACTTCCTTGTAGACGGTCTTCCCTTGCGACTTGGCGGCCTGCAGGACGTCGATCTGCACCTGCAGGTTCTTGGCCTCCCGGTGCAGCGCCGTCACGCGGGCCTTCTCCTGGTCCAGGGCCTGGCGCAGGGCACCCGTGGACTTCTCCAGCTCGGGGTCCTTCTCCAGCTTGACCACCTCCTCCATGATGATCTTCTCCTGCACCGCCGGCGGCCGCGCCTCCAGCTCCCGGATCCTCGAGCTCAGCTGCCGCAGCTCCTTCTCCACGGCCAGCTTCTTGCTGCGGTCCTCCCGGAAGCTGAGCAGGCCCTCCCGCTCCTCCGTGCTGGCGCGCAGCTGCTGCACCTCCCGCTCCAGCTGCCGCCGGCGGCCCGCCTCCTCGTCCAGGCTGCGGCTCAGCCTGCCGTGCTCCTGACGGAGCTTCGGGTCCTTCTGGGTGACCACCACCTCCTGCACCACCACCTTCTCCTCGGGCCGCCTCCTCTCCAGCAGCAGGAGCTTGTTCTGCAGCTCATAGAGGGCGTCTTCGGCGGCACGCCGCCTCTGGGCCGCCTCCCGCACCTCCTGGCGCAGGCGCTCGGCCTCCTTCTCCAGGACGGGGTCCTTCTCGTGGCGCACCACCTCCTTGTTCACCGTCCTGGTCTCCACCTTGGAGCGCTCCCGCTTCCACTCGTCTCGCTCGCCCTGCAGTCGGATGAGCTGCTCCTGGGCACGGCCGCTGCTGTTGACCAGCTCGTTGAGCTGGGCTTTGAGCTGGTCGATTTCCCTCAGCAGCTCAGGGTTCTGCTGGTGCCGCACCACCTCCTGCGTCACCTCCTTGTACTCCACGGTGGGCTTCTGGGCCCTCAGCACCGCCAGCTCGGCCAGCAGCCGCTCCACCTCCTTCTCGACGCTGCGCCGCCGGCCGCTGGTCTCCTCGAGCCGCGCCCGGAGCCGCGTGATCTCCTGCTCTGTGTCCGGGTCCACCCGGAAGACCTCGAGGACCTGCTCCCGGGGCTCCACTTTGGGTCTCTGCTCCTTGGCCTCGCTGTGCTGTCTGCGCAGCTCCGTCAGCTCCCCGGCCAGCACCGCGTTCCTGCTCCTCTCCTCCTCCAGGAGGCTCTTCAGCTTGGCGGACTCCTTGAGGAGGCCAGGGTCCCGCTCCACCTTCTTCATCTCCTTCACGATGACCTTTGGCTCCACGGAGCTGATTATCCGCTCCAGCTCTTCTATGCGAGCCCTTAGCTTGGCCCCGGTCTCCTCGGCCGCCTTCCTCCGTGCCGTGTCCGCCTCGGCCTGCAGCCTCAGAGCCTGGGCCGCCTTGACCATTTCCGGATCCTTCTCCACCTTGACCACTTCCTTCACCACCACCTTCTCTTGCACGCTTGCCTCCTTCTGCTCAAGGGCCAGCAGCTCCTGCTTGAGCCCCTCCAGCTGGGCACAGACAGCCGAGTTCTCTCCCCGGAGCTGCCCGATCTCGCTGTGGAGCTGAGCCGCCTGGCTGTCCAGGCTGGGATCCCGCTCGATCTGGGTGACCTCCTTGGTCAGCAGGTGAGGCTGCGTGCTTTTCTTCTTGCTCTCCAGCTGGATGACCTTCTGGGTCACAGCCTCCAGGTCGGCCTGCAGGCCGGCTCGTTTCCGGCCCTCGTCCTCCACCTGGGACTTGACCTTGGACAGGCTGGTCTCCAGCTGAGGGTCCCGGTAGAACTCCACCACCTCCTTCTCCTCCAGCCTCTCCAAAGGCCGCTGGGTCCTCAGCTGCAGCAGCCGGTTCCTCTGTTTCTCCAGTTCACGCTGCACCTGGGCCACCCGATTCCTCTCTTCCTCCAGCTGGGACATCAGTGCCTCTGACCCCCGCCCTGCTCGCGCTGGGCTCTCAGACCCCTGCTTTGCATCGTGGATCACCTGTATGTCCTCACCGAGCTCCTTCTGTGGAGAGAGTATAAGGGGAGGGTACTGGGGTGAGGGGAGGAAAGGGATGCCCCCATCTTTCCACCCCACTCTGAGATCAGAGACCCCTCTCTGCTTCCTGAGACTGGCAGGTCCCGGGAGATGCCCCTGAAGACCCGAGATGCTAGGATGCAGGATTTGGAGAGGACCCAGTAAATGCCCGTGAGGTCAGGACAAGGCGATGTTCGGGCTGAGCTTGCACTAGTAGGTGCAGATTGGGCAGGTTCTCCCTTCCAAACCCCTCCTCCCTTCTGCCTTCCACCCAGGCTCCCAGAAATGGGCCCCACACTTCTCTGGGGGTTCTGGAGTATGGCTGGGGCTCAGAATGGTGGGCGAGTCCTTCAGTTCATCACCAAAGGAGCTTTGGGCTCCTGGTCTCCCAGGGATGGAGGCCTTGGTGGCCTCTTGCCCAGTGTAGGCTGGGTCCCAGGACTGAAAGCTTTTGCAAATTTTCTCTGCTCTCTTGGGTTAGAGGTCCTGGTGCCATTTGAGGACTGCACAGTAGCTAAGCTGTGATCACACTGAATGACATCTCCAGGACCTAACTCTGGGATGGACACCAGCCTGTTAGAATTGATGGGGAGAGATGAGGGGAAAACAGTGAGATGCAGCCCCTTCTCAGTCTGCTGAGCCTGCCGAGGGGCTAGAGGCTCCATGGGGAGAAGCAAGGAAAGACTCCTCTCCCACAGTAGCCAGGCTGCCTTTGTGGGGATGGAGGGGGCATCGTGTCTGTACCTTCTCCAGAACCTTGATGGCAAACTCCAGCTGGTGCAGCTGCTGCTGGTGTGCAGCCACAGCCTCAGTGAAGGCCTTGGTCAAGTTCTTCTCCTGGAGAAGGCAAAGGGAAGGAGAGGAAGGCAGAGTCAGCCCCTGCCTCAGAGGCTGTGGAGCGGGTCCGACGGATGCTGAGCCCTGCTGGGCCTCGCCTCACCTGGGCCTGGATGCTCTCCTGCAGAGGAGCCACGCGGGGTCTCTTGGGGGCTGACACTGCTAGGCTAGGCTCCAGGGAGCAGCGGTAGGTGTCTGCCTGCATGTCATAGTCCTGAGCAGGAAGGAAAGGATGACAGGTTGATGTCAGCAGTAGAAGCTAAGCGTGGGGAAGCAGGCGATGGAGAGCAGACAGACTAAGAGGGACAAACGGACGTAAAACTGCTTACTTGGAGTGCTGCCTGCAGGTCCTGGGAGAGACAGGATGCCGTGACCCTGTCCCGCTCTCGGTCCTGGATCTCCTGCACCAGCCTCTGCCAGGGAGGAAGCAGGAGTCAAGGAAGCCACCTACCCTGGCTCCCCTCTGTCCAGGAACAAGTGGCCAGCACGGCCCCGGGCGGGAAGGGTGGTGTGGGAGGCTTCGGTGGGCAATCTCTCTTCCCCGGACCTCATTCTCCTGGTTTTCCTCCCTCTCCTTAGCAGGGTCCTGTTTTGCCTAGTGCTCCCTTAGAGTTCTGTTCCAGCACAGGGGTTTCTCACCCTGACCCTGCATCAGGAGCACCTGGAGGATCTGTGGGCGCACTGAGTGCTGGGCCCGCCTCCACTTCCTGTCTGAGGAGGTCTGGGCCCGCCTCCACTTCCTGTCTGAGGAGGTCTGAGGTGGGGCTTAAGAACTTGCATTTCTGAAACATTCTCTAGTGAAGCTGATGCTGCGGGTTGGGGTCCACTCTTTGAGAACCACTGCTCCTATAGTCACTTGGGGAACTCATGAAAAATGGTGATGGTCTGGCCCCAGCAATGCCCTGAGTGGTCTGGGAGGGGGCGCTCCTGGCACAGGGGTGTTTTGTAAATGGCCAGGTGATTCTAATATGCAGCCAGGGCTGCCAGCCTCCTCCCAGGCCTCTTCCTGGCATTACCCTCCACTCTCCCTAAAAGCTCTCAATCTCCCATAGGCCTGGGACCCAGCTCTTTGCCCTCAGCTCTCCCATGGGGACTCCCAGCCCACACCTTCCTCTCACAGATCCAACTCCCAATCCCCACCTCCCCTTGGCACCTCACGTTCAGCATGAGCCCAACTAACTTAATTTCTTCTCCCCAAATGCATTCTGTTTCCGTGTTTCCCACCTCAGATGGGGGCACCTCCTCTTCCCAAGTGTCCCAGACAGCGCCCTGGGTACCCGTCTCCCTCTTAGCTGTCACCAGGTCCAGCCAATGCCACCATCTACGTCTCTCAAATCTACTGACCTCTTTCTACCGTGGGGCCCCTTCCTCACTCATCTGGGCACCAGCCCCTTGCCTGGAGTCTTATCCTGGCTCCCACGTGTCTCCCTGTCTTCAGCCCTGTTCTTCCCACATACACTCTTACCCATCTCCACTGTGCAGCCAGACTGGGCTCCATGAACACAAATCGGACAGTGCCCCCTCCCAGCACCACCCTGGTGCCCCCTGGACAATGCCCAGCACCTTCTGTGTCCTTCCAGAGCTGTACCACTTGGTCCTCACCTCTGGTCACTCCAATCCTCTGACCCACTGTGCTCTCTGCTTGGGACATTTTGCTCCCTGCTCTCCAGAGCTACTCAGTTTATCTCTCAGATCTTGGCATAGGCGCTGGCTCCTCCAGACCATTTTCTCTGACCCCAACCATGTCCAGCAGTGAGTGCCCACAGGGCTCTGGGCTCCTCCATGGAGGCACTTATCTGCCTCATGGCCTGGGACCTTAGTCCTCCCCAGGAGGCTGGGAGCAGCATGAGGGCCGGGCTGAATCCTCAATCGCTGGTCCAGCCCCAGCACCAGGCAGGGGCCTGACAAGTATAAGGAAGAGAGTGCAGTAGCAGCTGGAAGTCATGGCAACCCTGCCCACATCAGACCAGACAGAGAGGAGCTGGGGCTTCTGTGGGCAACAGGGAGCATTTTGGGGTGGAGCCATGGGAACGTGGGGCCTTGGTGGCCTGAACTTTGAAGACTCCCCCCGCCTGCATATGTACTTCTACGGCAGAATGCTCGCCTGCCATGCAGGAGGCTTCGGTTCCTCCAAATTCCCCACCAAAGCATTGCAGACTTTTAATGAGCCCCAGTGGATAACGATCAAGCATTCAGCTGCTAATCTAAAAGGCTGGGCGTTCAATCCCATCCAGAGACTGCAACCCACCCAAAGACTCCATGGGAGAAAAACTGGTTATCTGTTCCCACAAAGACTACCAAAACTGAGCAAACAAAAACCACAGCCACTGAGTCAATTCCAACCATAGGAACCCCTGTTGGCTTTCCAAGGCTGTAAATCTTCATGGAAGCATATTGCCTCTTCCTCCTCCTGCAGAGCAGCTGGTGGGTTGAGCCACCAACCTTCTGGTTAGCAGCCAAGTGCCTTACCCACTCCACCACCACCAGAGCTCCCGCCCACAAAGATCACAGCCTAGGAAACCCTCCAAAAAACCAAAACCAAACTCACTGCCATCGAGTCAGATACGACTCATAGTGACCCCTCCTTGGGTTTCCGAGGTGGTATCACCTCCGATGGCCCAAATCAACCCTACTCTGTCTTACAGGGTGGCTAGGAGTCAGAATCAACTAGTTGGCACCTAACAACAGAGCATTTCCAAGCCTTGGTCACTAGGGGGCAGCATGCGTACAGGCAGCTGCCCTGTTGCAGAGGCGGCAAGGGACACGGCGGAGACCCCGCCCCCAAGTCGCCTGCAGTCCTGTCCTCTCACCTTCTGCGCCTGCAGCTTGTAGGCCATCTGGCTGGGCCCGGCACTGGGCCGCACCTGGTTGCGGGGCAGGTGTTCCAGCCAGGAGCTCAGGTTGTCCCTGCAGTTCTTGAACTGCTGGTAGGTGAGGCTGGCATCCAACACCGTCTTCTCCCTGAAGTCAGATGAAGCCGGAGCAGAGGTGAGAGGTGCCCTCCAGGGTGACGGGTGCAGGGAGGAGGCTGGAGGGCACCTTGCTTCCTGGGACAGGTCAGAAGGCCTCAATGACCTGCCGGGCGCCCCCTACTCTTGTCCTGACAGCCTCTGCCTGGCACCTTGGGAGGCAGGTACTGCTACCATCCCATTTCACAGGCAGGGAAACTGAGCCTCAGAGAGATTAGGTCACCAGCCAAAGGACACCCAGCTTGTCAGCGGCAGCACCCAGCCCGATGACCCAGCACTCACCGCAGGTCCAGCTGGTCCCCCACGGCGTGGTAGCGGTCAGTGAGGGCCCGCACCTGGCGCTGCTGGCGTGGCAGGTCTTGGCAGAACTCGCGGAAGTTGTTCCGCAGCGCGCTGCACGCGTGCTCGGCCGCCTTCAGCTCGCGGTGCAGGGCTAGCACGCAGGCCTGCTGCTCCATCAGCTCCCTGCGCTGGTGCTGCAGGACCCAACCACGGCGCACCTCGCGATCTGCCCGAGGCCCTACCCGCCTTCCAGGCTGAGCCCCCCACAGGACACCACCCGCGCCTCACCTGCAGCTCTCTGACCCTCTCCTGCAGTGCGCCTGGGCCGTCGGAGATAGGGGCCTCCCTGGCCAGGGAGGACTCAAAGCCCCGGATGACCCCGTCTGCGTCCCGGATCCGCCGCTCGAGAGCCAGAGCAACCTTGGCTCTGCGCAGAGGAGGTGAGGGTCAGGCGAGCCCTCAGCCAGAGGGCTGCCTGCCCACGGTCCCATCCCTGCACTCACTTGTCCCCATAGAGGTTGCACAGAACCTGCACGTCGCTGTACTTGTTCTTGACACTGTTGAGGGCCACGGGCAGCTGCAGGGCAGAGGGGCCTGTGGGCTGTGCCGACAGGAACGCCTCACACTCCTGCTGGGCCACCTCCTTCTCCGCTCCCAGACTCTGCAGGCGCTGGGCCGTGCCCTGGCAGGAACAGGCTGGGGTTCAGGATCTCTGCTCTGGTCCACAGGAAGGACCCTCCTGCCTGGTCTACCCCTCTCCGCCCCCATGGACACAGGAGAGCATGGCAGCTATGTGCTCGGGCTCCGGGCCAGAGAGCCGGGTACAGCCCTGGATCGACCTGCAACACGCACTGTGGTGGTTAAATTTGTGTGTCAGCTTGGCTGGGCCTGGTTGAGTGGCTCTGGGCAGCTGGATGTAGTATTCCCCATGATGAGACTGGTCATCAACTCCATGATGGAATCTACCATGAGCAGCTGAGCCTTAGGGAATGTGGTCTGCTTCCTGTATATCAGCAGAAGCCTTGGGGTATGGTCTCTAACTTATGGTACATTTGAATCCTGCATATAGCCGTGTCATTGTTCAGCAGCCTGCCATGCTCTGCCAACCTTGGGACTTTCAATGGGCTGGAATGAATGGCCTGCCGTGTGGTTTGGTAACATCGGGACTGTGCCTTTTTACTTGTCAACCTTGGGGTGTCAGTCTCAGCAGCCAGCAGCTGTCTGAGTGAAGAAATGCCTCTAGCTCCAGTGGGCTGGGAGCAGGAGGCTGAGCTGAAATCCAAGATTGAGGGGCTTTCACCCAGCCTGGCACTTTCAACTCGGACTTAAAGAGAATAAACTCCTGCTTGTTAAGGCCATTCCATTGGTGGTATATTCTTGTCAGAGCGGTACTAGGGAACCAGAACACACACGTGCACCCTTTTCCACCTCTGAAAACACCTCCGCCCCCTCCTGGCCCCCGACCCAGCTGGAGCATGACCTCCTATAGCGACCTCCTATAGCGACAGTGTGCTGTGCAGTGAACAGAAGGAACAAGCTGGCAAACATGGGAACAACAGGATTCACTCTTTTAAAAAACCAAACACAGACAATAAACTTGAGCAGAAAACGGCTTGGGGGAGATTGCCTCACAGTGGTGGTGGGGTGGACAGCTCACTCTCAGCTTCTCAGGTGTGGTACTCGCGCTGTGGACGGCACAGACTGCTTGTATAACAGTGTCTGCGTAACGCTGCGCCTCCAGGAAGGCCGCCCCTCCTCGAGCCAGGACACATCTCCCCCAGACACTTGCTGCCCTCGGGGCCCCCGTCAGGACACCCTTACTCTGACCTTGCCCCTTCTAGAATCTTCCTGGACGGTACCACATGTCATCCTCAGCACAACCAAACTGGGTAGTATCATGTCTGTCAAGGGTGAGAATACTGAGGCCCAGAGAGGCTGCAGGGCTTGGCCGAGGTCATGGAGCCAGTGGTGGAGAGGCTGAGATGGGACCTGGTTTGTCTGAGCCCTGTCCTCCCTGCTTTGCCCGCCCCCGGCCCCAACGCTGTTCCTGCCCGTGCCTCATCTCCTGCTAAGGTATATCCAGGTACAGTCCTGCCCCGCTAGTTGCCATGTGGATGACCTTGATCAAGTCAGCCTCTCTGACCCTCTGTCTCTTCATCTACAGAATGAGTTGATGGAAGGACTAGATGAGCACCTGTATGCCAGGAGCTTAGCGGTACGTGCGCCCGTGCTGCCCTCACCCACCTCGTGGCTGCGGATGCGCCCCTCCAGGTCCTCCAGGGGTGAGGTGCGGCTCAGCGGGGCCCGGGCCCAGGCCAGCACCTGCCTCTCTATCTGTGCCAGGTCCCCATCCAGCCGGGTCATCTGTGTCAGGAGCTTCTGGGCCTGCGGGTCTGCCGGTGCTGAGCTGGTCGGAGCTGGGCCACAGGGTACTGGTAAGATCCAGAGCCTACCCCCTGTCTGCCCAAAGAGCCCCTCCCCGAGTGACCAAAGAGGGTCCTGCGCGGGGGCGTCGTTGAAAGGAGGGGCAGGCCCAGGGGCTTGCCAACCCTGGAGATGTCTCTAACCAAGGCCACCCCTCACCCCTGTAGCCCCCCAGCAGTGGCTGAAGTAGAAACATGCTCCCTCCAACCCCCCTCCCACACACACTCACACCCTGCTGGCCCTGGTACCCTGCCGGCCCTGGGACCCTGCCGGTCTTGGTACCCTGTCGGCCCTGGTGCCTGCCGGCCCTGGTGCCCTGCCGGCCCTGGTGCCCTGCTGGCCCTGGGACCCTGCCGGTCTTGGTACCCTGCCGGCCCTGGTACCCTGCTGGCCCTGGTACCCTGCCGGCCCTGGTGCCCTGCCGGCCCTGGTGCCCTGCCGGTCCTGGTGACCTGCTGGCCCTGGTACCCTGCCGGCCCTGGTGCCCTGCTGACCCTGGGACCCTGCCGGTCTTGGTACCCTGCTGGCCCTGGGACCCTGCTGGCCCTGGGACCCTGCCGGCCCTGGTGCCCTGCTGACCCTGGTACCCTGTCGGCCCTGGTGCCCTGCTGGCCCTGGGACCCTGCCGGTCTTGGTACCCTGCCTGCCCTGGCGCCCTGTCGGCCCTGGTGCCCTGTCAGCCCTGATGCCCTGCCGGCCCTGGTGCCCTGCCAACCCTGGTGCCCTGCCGGCCCTGGTATCCTGCCGGCCCTGGTACCCTGCCTGCCCTGGCACCCTGTCGGCCCTGGTACCCTGCCTGCCCTCGTACCCTGCTGGTCTGGCTGCATGGGTTCCACAGCACTGATCTTCAGGCCACTCTGGACTGTGGCCAGTTTCTGCTTCACAGCTTGCAGCTCCGAGGCCAGCCTGGAACGAGGAGGGGGTCAGAGGAGGGTCTGCCTCCCTCGTCAACCCCAGCCATCACTGTGGGGGTGGGGTGGGGTTGGAGGTGGCATGTGTGCAGGGGACCTCAGACACAAGGCCTGGGCCCACAGCCTGCCTCCTGTCCCTGCGTGTCACTGTGTGGGGGTGGCCCACCTGGAGGCCTTGGCCACGGCCTCAGGGTCAGGTGCTGGGACAGAGAAGCAGGCGGCTGGGACGTGCTTGGTCTCCCCTTTGGGACCCTGCACAACCCAGGTGTGTGGGTCAGAGTTGTCCTGCAGCGTGTACCGCTCACCCCGAAGCAGCTGTACCTGGAGGCAGGCGGAGAGGGACTCAGGCAGGGGCTCGGGCAGAAGGGGCCGAGGCCAGGATGAGGCGGGAACAGGATGAGGCGAGCCCCAGTCAGGGGAGGGCAGGGTTTGGAGGGTAGTGGAGCAGGGTCAGCGGGGAAGGAGAAGGTCAGAGGTGGGACAAGGTGAGGCTGGGTCAGGGCAGGGGTGGGGTGAGGCGGGGCTGCTGGGGAGTGAATGTGGGGTAGGGCTGGGGCTGGGGCAGGGGAGGCCATGGCCCGTACTTCTCCCGAGTCCCAGTCACAGATGCTATCCACATGCAGGGGCTGCTGAGGCGGTTTCCTCCGCAGGGACAGAGGGGCCACCTCCTGGCTCTGCCGCTGCAGGTCTCCCACCATCCTCTCGGCCACTGCCAGCTGCTTCTCCTCTGCCTGCAGCCCAGGCAGCGGGGGAGCTCAGGCTCCACTCAAGCCCGGGTCCACACCTGCCCACACCTGGCCTCCAGGAAGCCACTGTCTCCAGGTCAGCAGGGTGAAAGGCGTCCCTCCTTGGGGGACTGGGACCGTGGGGTCTGTGATTGGAGTGTGGGCTTCCCAGCAGCCAGGCCTCAGAGCTGTCCCGGGCCCCCTCTCACAGTACAGGTGAGGCAGCTGAGGCTCAGAGGGGGAGGGTTTTGCTGGTAACAGAGCTGGGAGCAGACTCCCTTCTCCTGGCCCCCAGGCCAGGGCTCAGGGCAGGACTGAGCACCCGGGATGGGAAGGGGTGAAGCCCAGACAGATAGCAGGCCCGATGCCTAGCAGTAGGGTGCCGCTGGAGGGGTGTGGCTGGGTGGGGCCGTCTCACCTCCAGCTGTTGCAGCAGCTCTGTGCGGGCGCCAGGTAGGTCCCCTGGAGCAGGCCTGTACTTGGTGTCCAGGTTGGAGCTGAGCTTCGCCAGGGTCTGGCTGACGGAGCCGGCCTCTTCCTGGAACTGAGGTTGCAGGGTGGTCAAGGGCAGAGCCCAGAGCAGCATGCTGCCCAGTGAATGATCCTGCTAACCAGCTGAACCCAACTCATTTAAATCAAAACCAGTTAAACCTAAACTGGCTAAACCCAACCAAGCAAAACCCAAACCAATGTTTGTGGGGTACGTGTTTGAGGAGTATGTGTTTGTGGGCTGACTCAGCCCAGCCTCAGGGCAGGACCTGGCAATGAGCTTTCAAGCAACACCTCACTGTTGGATGGTATTTGGGAATTATTGTTAGAGGGTGTGATGTTGTTGTTAGGTGCCGTGGAGTCGTCTCCGACTCATAGCGACCTTATGCGCAACAGAACGAAACACTGCGCAGTTTTGTGCCAGCTTCACCACCCTTGACCCTTGTGATAATTTCCTTAAAAATAAAGACGAGAGAGAGAAATCCTTGGCTTTTCTCTCTCTCAAAGGTGTATGAAACATTTTGGGCAGAAATTACAAAAAAAAACCCACCACCTAGTTGTGCGTTACATCAGTGTTTCTCAGCCCTTTTTCATCATCGTCTCCAAAGGAACTTTGTCAATGCTTTATCCTAAGTCTACTCTTCTCCAGGAAGTGTCAGGATCAGGTATACTGTCCCTCTGTTCATGTGCAGGCATCAGGAGCGCTGGTGGTGCAGTGGTTAAGCACTCGGCTATTAACTGAAAGGCCAGTGGTGTGAACCCAGCAGCCGTTCTGTGATGACTGCCTAGGAAACACTACAGGCAGCTCTGCTCTGTCCTGCAGGGCCACTGTGAGCTGCAATTGACTCAACAGCCCACAACTCTATGTGCATCTGTGCTTCATACAGTACAAGAGTGAGGCTGTTTTCAATCCCGAGAACCAATCTTCGCACTCCTGGGGATGACAGGGTCCCCTTGAGTGTGTGTGCATGACATCATTTCCCCGTGGGGCCAAGTCACAACGGCAGAGCTCTGTTGTATTTAGGAAAGGTCTTGCTGGTACAGAGGGAGGCCCCGGTCGTACCAATGGTGAACAAGCTTGACTGCTAACTAAAAGGTTGGAGGATCAAGTCTGCACCCAGACACTTCGGAAGAAAGACCTGGGGAGATCACTTGCAAAAAACCAGTCACTGAAAACGCTACGGAGCACAGCCCTGCTGTGACATATGCGGGTCACCACGTTGGAGTTAGCTCAAAGGCAGTGGTACTGGTAGCGTGTGGTGTCCCCCCGGCCCCTCCGCCCGCCTCCAGGCAGCCCCCCCGTCCTTGCCCTCGGGCTCACTCGGCAGTAGGCCTCCACGTGCTGCAGCTGGCTCTCCTGGCAGATGCACAGGTTCAGAAAGTTCTGCCACTCCATCTTCAGGGCCTCCTGGTGGGCCTGGGGACAGCGGCACAGAGCCTCGGACCACGCCGGCCCGTCCACCTGCCCCCGCCCCCGCCCCACGGTGCCGGACCACTGCCAGCCTCCCAGAAGGCCCATGTGGATGAAGGCCGAGCCCCGAGGCAGTGGGAGGTCCGGCCTCGCACCTGGATGGGCCCGGGGGCTGGGTGCCGGAGCTCGAGCATGCGTTCCCCGTCATCCTCCAGCTGGTTCACGACCTGCTCCTGGCTCAGCAGCTCGTGCTGTTTGAAGTGCTGCGAGAGGCCGCGTGAGGGCGGTCAGGACCAGCAGGTCCTGGGACTGGCGGTCAGGACCGGGTTGGCCCTGGTCACTCACACCGCCCTCTGCCCGCGCCCCCTGACCTCGTACTCCCGCCGCACGCCTGCGGGGTCTGCCATGAGGTCGCTCCAGTCCTGCTGCAGGATACGCCGCTGCTGCTCGGCCAGCACACTGAGCTGCCGCGTGCAGCCCTGCAGGTGCGTGTAGAGGCTGCCCAGGCTCTGGCCGCGCCACGAGGCCGCCTTCTGCGCTCAGGACAGCGAGCACCGGGACCAGAGCGGAGGAGGGGAGAGGTGGCGAGAAGCACCATCAGCCAGGCTCCCAGCCCATGCTGCCATGGTCACCCCGTCACCCTGGCCTCCCAGGCCACCCTTCCATCTGTCACTGTACAACCAGCCTAGGGGACCAGCCTGCCCACAGTCACCCCATCACCCGGGTCAGCCAGCCTGCCCCTCACTCCCCCCTGCTCACCAGCAGGTCCTGGTACTGGCTCCTGATAGCGGCTGCGTCCTGCCTCAACCAACGGGGAGAAAAGAAAGGACAGGCCCAGTGAGAGGCAGGATCCGGGGTGCTCCCCGCAGCTCTCCTCCTTTGGCCCTCTCCCCGAGTCCAGCGGGGCCTAGCTGAGGTTCTGATGGGAGAAGGGCTGGGGGACAGGGCCGGGCTCACCCACCGGCCCCACGAGGCTCCGCAGCTGTTGTCCGTAGGCCTCGATCTCCTTCTGAAGAATGTTGTGCTCAGCCACCTGCTGTTCCAGCTCAGCCATGCCTGGCCCGTACTGGCCCTCACACACCTGCTTCTGTGGGAGGAGGCAGTGCTCAGCAGGCGGGCACAGGAGCCCCGAGAAGCCCTCCCAGAGTGCCCGCCTTGCCCACCCCGAGCCTCCCTGCAAGGAGTACGGTGGATCACCCTCACAGAGGCTGGACAGCCAGGTGAGTGGGACATGCACTCTCCAGTGACTCTGGCCACCTTCCCTGAGGCCCACCGGTCCCTGAGTCCCAGGACCGGGGCTCAGCCTCCCCAAAGCCTCCCTGCTCCCTGGCCTCCTCCCTGGCCCTGGCCTCAGTGCCTCCTGCCCCGACAACCCCAGCCACCTGTGCACGCCCTGCTTCAGCCCTCCCCGCCCCCACTGCTCCTTCTGTTGTGGCACCAAAACACAGCTCCCACCTGACGTTCAGGATGCCTTGTGACCCGACTCCACCCACCTGCCCCCCCCCCACTTCCCATCCCACCCCGGGCTTCCTCCTAGCAGGAGCCTTTGTTCCTTCTTTCTGGAATGTTCTCACCATTCCCCCCTCTTCACAGGCCTCCTCCTGCAGGAAGCCTTTTATGAATGCATGGTCTCCTCTGCCTTCTCAGACCCCCGAACCATCCACAGGTCCAAGCAAGCCCGTGATTAACGGCAGTTCTGCCTCAATCACTGCAAGGAGTGACTTCGGGTTCCAAGAGGGTGGCTCAGACCTGGTAGGGCTCTTACCTGCTTCTGTTCCAGCGTGCGTGCCCAGTCCACCCTGGGCCCCATGTTGGGTGGTAGCACCATCTTCTCATACAGGGCACGGTACTCGGAGCACTCCTGGGTCACCCGCTCGTGCAGCTGCTTGATGCTGCGGGGAGGCGTGGGGGCATCAGGCTGGGCTCTCCCCCAGGTGCCCACTGCCTCCTGGCCCCAGCCCACTCACTCCTTCTCGATCTCCTCGGCTTGTGGGTGCTTGAGCCGCCGGGCCTTGTCCACGTCCAGGAATAGGTCCTTCAGGAGCGTCTCCGCCTCCTTCAGGTTGCGGCCCGTCTCCTGCCGGTGCTGCAGGGGCTGGCTGCACTCGCTGTTCTGCCGGTCCTGGGGGTGCGGCCAGAGCAAGAGGCATCCTCATTAAGGCCCAGAGGACCCCATATTCCTGCTGCCCCATCTCTGCAGGCCTGAGCCCCAGCCTGAGGAGAGGATCCTGGTCGCGCTGGCCAACCTCAGGGCCCAGGGCATCTGTGGGCTGGGCAGCAAGGACTTGAGGGGAGGCCTAGGCCCCCTCCGCACCCCCTTTGACCCTCAACAGAGAAGGAAGGCTGAGCCACCTCTCTCATTGTGGGGTCTGAGGCACAATAGGGGGTGTGGGCGGTGAACGGGGTTGTTGTTCCGTCCCCACCATCACTAGCGGGCACGAGAAGGGAGTGGCATGTGTGCCACCAGAGCTCGTCAGGGATGGCATTGGGCCTCCTGGTGCCATCCGGCTGCCCCTGCGCCAGCCATCAGCTATACAGCCGCACCTGCTGCAGCCTCTTCTGGGTCTCCAGGATGTCTCTCTCCACTTGATCAGCATTGCCTTGCATGCGAGAGATGAGCAGGGCCAGCTCCTGGGTGGCAGCCCTGGGGAATGGGGGTGGACAGAGGGCACCGTGGTCGGGAAAGTCTCCTCTGTTCCCCTTGGGCAGGTGGCTGCCCACCCAAGTGGGCCACCTGGCATCCTTCTGCCTTATACCACACCGCAGCCAGGCCATTGCCGGAGAGGGCGGAGCACATGACCCGGGGGGGTGCTCTGTGGTCCTTCCCTGGCAGGAGGCTCTGAGGTACTGAGTCCTGGCGGGGGCATTGTCCCCAGCATGCAGTTCAGAAAGCTAGGACCCCTGTCCCAGCTGCATGGGGCCCGTGGAGCAGTGGGGCCCGTGGAGCAGAAGGGCCCTGGGGCGCCCTGGCCCCACCCTCAGCCAGGTGACCTGGCAGTGAGCTGTGGATTCACCCAGTTCCCCATCTCCTGCCCTCTGGTTGGCGGTCTGGTGCCCAGGGAATGAGGGAATCACTAGCTCAGCTGCTAACAAACACCGGAGACACTGAGGTGGGGCCCCGGGGGACAGGGGGGAGGTGGCCAGGCTCACTGAGGATGGGGGAGCAGCAGTATATACCCCTCATACACGCCCAGCCCTGTGGCCCCAAGGCTTTGCTCAGGCCTTAGCAACCGTCTGGAAGAGCCACATGGCATTGGGCCAAGGGGATCCCACAGATTGCAAGGGCATGGCAGCATTTTCCAGGTTCAGGGTTCAAAGCCCAGATTGGGACCTGGCTTGTCAGGAGAGAGCATGAACCTGAACCGGCCCCAGGTCCTTTTCTATGCGTTCATTCTGGAACCTGTACAGGGCACCTGGGTCCAGCACAGGTGGTGCTGAGTTGGCACCTGCACGTGCCGTTTACGGTGGCACCCCCGCTGCCCAGAGCTGTAGGTCCTCACTACATACTTGTGGAGTGAGTGCACTTCGTGTGAGGGGCCCATAAGCCCTCTCTAGGGGGCTGCAGCCAGAGCCAACAGGCCTCGTGGACTGATCGGCCCAGCCAGGAAGCCTGCCCAGGGACCCTGCTGGGGGAGGGGGCTTTGGGTACTGAGCCCTGGTGTCTAGTCCTCAGTATGGCCCCCTGGGAGGGCCGTTCCTGCCAGGAGGGGCATGTTGCAAGAGTCTTAGCTGCCACCTGTCCCATCCTCCCAGACGCTCAGCTGGGTGCCGCCAGCCGATCCCTATCAGGGTAATGGGCCCCCCACACCCCTGCCTTAGCCTTTCATCTCTGGTGTCATCTTGGACCCCAGGCAACCTGCCGCCTCTACCCTGCAGAGGGGACTGCGGCCCAGTGGGTGGGAAGAACACCAGCCAAGTCCCTGGGTCGGGGGCACCCAGGAGCCCAAGGCCTCCGGCTATAGCGTAGACCAGGGCCCTTGGTATGAGCAGGAAAGGGGGTGCCAGGGAGGCTCCGAGGGTGCCTGGGGCTGCAGGGTACTCGTCTTTGCACCACAGCACCCCCTTCATACACCCACCCAGTAAAGAGTCCCCGACTCTTTAACAAAAGCCTAACACAATCTCAAGGCTGAGAGAGCGTTCTGGGGAAAGGTGAAGCTTAGACGGGAGGCCAGCACAGGCCCTGCCTCCCTGCTTCGGGGCACCTCCACCTCAACTTTTCTAGCCACTCTGCACCCAGGCCCCCGGGTCATCCCTCAGGTCAAGCTGAGCCCAGGGGCAGCACTGTGGGGAGGGAGCCAGGCACCCAGCTGCCCGCGGAGCCAGGCGACTGCTTAGGTCCTGTCCAGCATGGCTCCCTAAGTGGCCTCACTCACCCTTTGGCCTCAGGCCCCCCGGAAAATGCAGGTAGGCCCAGACCCCCAAGCCTCCTGCCAGGGCTGGAACTTGGCCTGGGCCAGCAGCTCTCAGCTGGGAGAGCACCGCCCTTGGGCCTTTGGCCTTGGGACACCAAATGCCATTGCTGGGCTGGTCCCGGGCCCCAGGCTGCCGCCTCCAGGTGGCTGAAGTCCCCAGGAACCACCCCTGCCCCAGCCGCCCCTTGCCCGGCCCTGCTCACCGGCTGTGCTTGCTGGGGGAGCCCTTGGCTGGGGAGCCTTTGGGGGACCCCTTTCCCTGGGATCCTTTGCTCAGCCCCTTGAACATGGTGGTGAAGTCGGTGCCGGCTCAGTCTGGGCTCAGCCGGTGCGGGTGGCAGGCAGCGGTGCGTCCTCCCTGGCTGGGCAGCTGGCTCTGGCGAGGTGGGGTGCGGGCGCGAGGGGCCAGGCGGTTCCTGGGAGGCGCCTGTGCAGGTGAGCGGAGCCCGAGCTGCCGCGCATGTACCGGGCGCGCCCACTCACCCGCTCCAGCACAACCAGTTTGGGAGGAAAGGGCAGCGCCCAGAGGCGGGGCAGCCAGGCTGCCGCCTCCCAGGGAAGGTCTGGGCTTGTTGCACCCACACACCCAGAGGTCACACTCAGATGGGGAAACAGCTGGCCACGGGGGACAGGGCTCCAGACAGACAGATGCATGCAGGCCCAGGGACAGACCGTCTCAGGCCCGGAGGCCCCCAGAGAGCGGCAGAGCCGCTTGCCTGGGGTTGACGAACGTCTCCCGTTGCCCAGGGAGGCCCCGCTATCAGGCAGGCCCCCACCCACACCGGGAGAGGTGGGGCTGCTCCAGGCAGCCCTGGGCAGGCAGGAAGCCCAACTCCCTGCTCCCGGTGCACAGTTCTCTGCGCCGTGTTCTCACCAACGTGATGGAGTGGTCAGGGGACCCGCACCCCCAAATGGCACAGTCTGTTTGTAAAGTGAGCCACACCCAGGCTGGCTCTCCACACAAGCTCACCTGTGTGTGGTGTTGGAGCCAGACATAGCAGGACCAGCATGGCTGGGACCTACAGATTCTCAGACCAGCTGCAGAGGGTCCCCTTCCACCTCCACTCCACTCCACTCCCCTTCACGCTGTGCCCCACTCTGCCACTAGCTGCTGCCTCTGCCCCCAGGTGCTGCTACGCCCAGGGTGACTGACCCTGCTTGAAAGCCACCATGCTTGGGTTTACTGCCTGCCTCCCAGCCCACTCTCACCGCGGACATGGCCCCCAGTGGGCTTTATGCAGTTACACTGAGTGGCTAGAGGTATGTGCCCACCTCCCAGGCCCTGTTCACCGTCTCAGCTCCAGAAGCCCCTCTGCAGACCTGGACCCCATGATTCATTTCTGAAAATCATGCGGTTCTGGTGGGAAGGGGTTCAAGGGGGAGCAAGGGGGAGCAGTAGACCTGAAGGAGGGGATCGGGTGCCAGAGCCATCCCAGCAGGCTTCGCTGAGCACAGAACACAGCCCTCGGGCAGCAGACAGATGAAGGCCCCAGCACACAGGGGAGACTAGGGACATTGGCCTGGGTCTGGCCACACTCCCAGTGGACAGAGGAGAAGGCCTGAGTCCCTTAGGGCTGCATCCCACGGACAAGCCGCTGAACTTGGCCCTCGACTTCTGGCAGTAGGGGTTGGGAGGGCTGCAGGAGGCCCTGACAGAACAAGTACACTAGCGTGGTCAGCTAGACTCAAGCGGGAAGGTCACCAGCATCCTCCACGCAGGGCTGTGTGATTCGCAAGATAGAGGGAACTGTCTCTGCACGTTGCCCTGGGTGGCAAATTTCTTCTGACCTCTAGTAGCACACCTCCCATCAGCTGTTCTCAGAAAGGGGCCATTTGTTGAAATGACTGCCGGCTCCTGGGGTCAGCGCCCCTCCCTGACATCAAGTAGTCGGCACAGTTCCTTCATCTTTGGGAGGTGATGGAAGTGCCCTGGGAGCCGAGACAGGCTGTCACGCAGGCCACACTCCCGGTGGATCCACGGCCCCCTGCCCTGCCTCCCAGAGCCCAGCAGGGAGAGGACATCCAGGGGAGGCTCTGCTGAGCTCACAGAGGGAGGGGGCGAAGGGCAGCAGGAGGCTTTGAGCTGGAGCAGTCGGCTCTGCCGCCCTGTGCAAGGCCTCCTGGAAACGGATGAGCTCTGTAGGGGCCCTCACATGCCCCGGAGATCAGGCGTGATTCATGGGAAGAAAAACAAGAGCTGAATTCCTGGCGCGACTGTCCACTGCTGAGCTAAATCAGGCCCCACTCCCCAGATGAGGCTGGCGGTGCAGCAGGCGGGCACACCCGGTCTCTGAGCACTGGCTGCTGGAGGCGGCTACCTCTGTTCACAGGGCAGTGCCCGGCCCCAGGAATAACGTGCAGGAGAAAGGAGAGGAACAGAGAGGGCTGGGTATCGTCATGCTTCATCCTTGGCCTCTTCCCGTCTGGGAGAAACATCTAGACAGAGGTAAGGTATGAAAAGTAAGGGAGCAAAGAGTCACTCAGTGAGAAGGCCAGAATGGGGCTGGTGCTGTCTCCCATGCAGCCTCAAGGCCCACAGGGCTGTGAACTTGAACTGTTGACTAGTCTGAACCAAGACAGACTGTAGCATGTGAAAAAAACATACCAGATTTGAAGACTCTGGGTGACAATAAGAATATAAAATAACAATATTTTTGTATTCATTACATGTTGAAATGTTAACTATAAAATATATTTTTAATTAATTTCACCTGTTTTTTCACTTTTTGAATGGGGCTACTAGAAAACATACAGCTTTCAGCTGTGACCTACATTTGTGGCTCTAAAGAATTCCTATTGGACGGCTCTGACCTTGAAGCGGGCCGTGGCTCCTGACTCTGGTCTTCCTGGGCTCGGCCCTGCCCTGTCTCCTCCCTTTGCATGAGACGGGAGGCCCAGGGCCTGGCTTCTCAATGCCTGGGTGAGCCCCTTCCCAAGCCCGACCTTTGCTTCCTCATCTGTAGACTGATGGTGTCAGATGCCAAGGTCTCCAAGGCTCCTGCCAGCCGCGCCAGTTATGATGTTAGGTGGTGGCTTACTCAGCTCCCCTAGCCGGGAGTGTCACAGCTCACAGGGCCCGAGCCTGGGCCAGGGGTTGACCAGAGCTGGAAGCACCCCAGGCTCCCAATCCGGGGCTCCATGCCAGTCAGGCTAGGCCCAGGGTGGCAACTTGGAAAGGGCGCCAGGGCCCAAGTTCCTCAGAGCCAACTCTCTTCCGAGCTCCAGGGGCTCCCGCAGGCTGGGGCATCCTCCTTCCTCCTGAAGCAGAGGGTGGCAACTGCCGACAGTGCCCTGGGAGCTGTAACCATCGCAGGATCTGCCATCGCAGGAAATTGCCTTGTTTATACAAAAGCCCTGCCACCAGACCCTTGGAGCCGAGGCTGAAAAGCTCTCTGCCTGGGCACTTCCTGGGTCCAAGGGTGGCTGGGGAGGGGAGTTCAAGGGTGAGTCCTGTCCCCAGGCATCAGGAACATGGAGGCCAGGGCCCAAGAGTCCGCAGGGCTGTCTGGAGGAGGTTCTCTGGTTGCACGTCTGTCTGCCCAGCAGGACTGATAAGAAGACAGATGAAGGCCTACCCAGAGAGAGCCAGAAGGGGGCCACAGCTCAGAAAGAAAAAAGACACCAGCTTAATCTCTTTGGGCCCAGAGGGAAGCAATACAAAAACAGGAAAAAAAAGCAAGCAAGCAAGCAAAGCTTGCCTATGCCATGTGCCATGCACTCCCATATACTGCCTGAGAGGGCAGGCCCAAGGCTGCCTGCGAGTGCATTTCTCCCTAGGAACTGAGGGCTCACAGCAGGACAGGGTCAGTGCCGGCTGTGCCTGCAGCCCTGGCCGCTGCCACGGCACCAGCTATCCCTGCACTCGGAAGTCTGCAGCCTGCCCACTCTCGGTGGAAGCCGCTGGCCTCCCCAAGTTGCCCAAGGGCTCTGGGCCTTCCTTCCATCTTGAAGACAGTGGCCAGCTTTCATAGTTCAGTCTGGGTAGCTGGGGCCTATTGTGGACAAATTCAGGTGTGACCAGAGGCTGACTGTGACCAACAGCAGGGTCAACAGCCTGGCGGCTGTGGAGGGTCACAACGGCTGTAGCAAGGCCTCAGTGGCACCGAGCCGTTGGTGAAGACAACACAAGAACAAACTCATAGCGGTCTCTCTCTCTGGAGGCAGCCCCGCCTCACCAGGCTTTACTGCCAGCAAACGGGGAGTGGGGACTGGACTCCAAACACACAGTGGTAGCTCATGGACCCGTGCTGTTGTCCTGAAGACATGGCTTCGACAGGCCGAGACTCAGGGGAGGGCAGGAGGGAAGGCAATGGGACCTGCTGTAGGGGTGGGGGAGGCTGGTTACCACCAGGAGGTCCCCCTGCATTTCCACTCCTTTTGCCCAGTGACTCAGTATTCTGTAGGCTACACTCTCTGGGTCCAGGGGCCAGGCTGTCCCTGGGGAATTTCCTCTGACTAGGGCTGTAGTAGTCAGGTGCTGGTGGCACAGCGGTTAAGCACTCAGCCACTAACCGAAAGGTCAGTGGTTTGAACACAACAACAGTGTTCCATGGGAGAAAGATGTGGCAGTCTGCCTCCATAAAGATGAGCCTTGGAAACCCTATGGGCAGTTCTACTCCGTCCTCTAGGGGCACTGTGAGTCGGAACTGATTTGTTGGCATTGAGCCTGGGTTTTTTTTTAAGTTAGAGCTGCAGCACGGACAGACTTCCCGACAGCGACTTCCACTACCTTGGCAGGGGCTCCTTCCACAAGGGCCTGAGGGGCCACGACAGGGCCCAGCCCCGCAGTTCATCAGACAGATGACCTCTAACGGAGCTACCGGGGCAGGGCCTGCACAAAAGGCAAAGGCAAAGTGGAAACAAAACCACCTCCTCAGGCTACTCTCCATCCATCACGGCCCTGGACGGCTGGAGGGGCCGGCCCATAGGTGGGTATTCTACTAGGGTCTGCTGTTGAGATGGTGTGGTGGTTATGTTTGTGTGTCAACTTGCCTGGGCCTGGTTGAGTGGCTGGGCAGCTGATGGTAGTTATTCCCCATGATGAGACTGGCAATCAACTCCATGGTGGAAACTACTGTGAGCAGCTGAGTAGCTGCCTTTGGGATGTGGTCTGCTTCCTGTATATAAGGAGAAGCCTTGGGAATGGTCTCTAGCCTATGGCACGCCAGGACCCTGCATGTAGCTGTGTCATTGTTCAGCAGCCTGCCATGCTCTGCTGACTTTGGGACTTACAATGGACTTAAGTTAATGGTCTGCAGTGTGGTTTGGTACCATCAGGACTGTGCCTTTTTACTTGTCAACCTTGGGTTTGTCAGTCTCAG